ACGATAGACACGCCCATGCATTGTAGTTGCGGAGTGATGGAGAGATATGGGCTCCGAAGCCAAAGGCACACCTAGAGAAGGCAAGAGAAAGGGCTGGCACACATGAGGTTACATGCTTTGACCATGCCACAGGGACTTATCAGGTCAAGCATAGGGGCGGTACAACGTCCGACGGCGAGGTCCGAGAGTCGAGGATACATGTGGTTGTCCTCCAAGATTTTCAAATGCACTTGTGGTAAACCAAGGCAGTACCACTTTCTATGTTCTCATTTGGTGGCAGTAGCTAGGCATCGCAACTATAATATCAAGAGGAGGATACCTGACGAGTTCAGTGTCGACACGCTTGTGCACACATGGAGCCCCCGCTTCGTGCCTTTCTAGGACCCTAGAGAGTGGCCTCCATATGATGGGCCGAAGTACATTGCGGATCCAGCTTACCGTTGGAACAAGCGTGGATCAAGGCAGATAACGAGGCACAGGATGGTTATGGATCAGATACCCGAAAGAACAAGGCGTGGGAGAGGAACTCCATTTGTTACTGACCCCGAGCAGTACGAGTGTGGCAAGTGTGGTAGACTTGGCCACAATTCATAAAGTTGCCATTGGCAGATTAGTGAGGTGCGGCTATTGGTTGATTTTATTATTTTATATTTGTCGTATTCATTTATTTAATTATGCATGTCTCAATTTATGCTTGTATTTGTGTCAATTACTTATAATTTCTAAGTTCATGTTTCATTGTATATTGAAATTCTAATTCATTCACTTTTTTTCTAGGATGGCGCAATTCCACCTGCTCGACCCGACGTACAAGGCGACCCACCGAGGACGTCTCATAGCGCTAGGGCAGGTAATAATCTATAAGTTTTGTTCAAAATTTGGTGAGTGTACATGTGTTCGTGAAGTAACAGGAGACTATGTTTTATTCGATGCAGGACCTTCCGCTCCTTCATCCTAGAGCCCACAATGGGTTCTTGGACATGCGGTACGACGACAGGTACACTCCTTTCCTGCAAAGAGTTGTCCTGGATGCATCTCTTTTCAGGTTCATCGTGGGTTGCCCAAGTTCAACTCAGCGGCCATAACTACGTTGGTTGACAGGTATTAAATTGAATCATTACTTCTATTCATGGCCATTTGTTAATGCGATTGACTTTTTGACAAGTAATCTTCCTTTGTCTTAAATATAGGTGGTGGCCGGAGACTCACAGCTTCCACCTACCTTTTGGGAGATGACAGTCACGCTCCAGGACTGTCAGAAGATGTTAGGCCTAAGGATTCATGGCAACCCAGTCACCGAGCAGTGCAGGTCAGAGGGCTAGAGAGCACGAGTGGAGGCCTTCCTTGGGCGTGAGCTTGGCGAGCAAGGGCCTCGCACTTCTAGAGTTCTCATCTCTTGGCTACAGGAAGAGTTCGCACAGTGCCCCGAGGAGGCAGATGAGGAGACAGTTGGGTACTACTGTAGGGCGTGGATCCTACACCTGTTTGCCTGTGTTCTCTTCTCTGACGCCACGGGTGATAGTGCATCCTGGATGTGGGTCCACTGCCTCAATGACTGGGACCAGGTGGGTCCACTTACACGACATACTTATTGTAGTCTTCCTTGGCCGAAGACAACTGTGAGTTCACTAGGTGGGTTGATCCTCGACCTATTAATACGCATGCGGAGTATATCTACTACCTGTAGGACCGTATCTTTGATTTAGAAAGGGAAGTTAGCAGCGGTTATAAGGACGACGGATAGGACGACAACAACAATGGTGCTGATTCACATGAGGCACTCTGCAATGACCCATATTGCACCTGCCCTAATCACAAGAACAAGGGGCCTCCCCCGTCACCCCCGCCACCACCACCAACAACAACGGGAGGCTACTATGGAGAAGGTGCAACACAATTTGCTATGTGGCCACATTACTAGGACGACTTTATGTTATTCACATACCATATCTATGTGTTTGTTGTTTGGTTTAATTACCTAAGGCATGTCATGTTAGGTTTAGTCGAAGGAAACTCTATACCCAGGTTTGGTACATGTTCTCACATGCTATTTCATGTGTTTTGTGTGTTGAATTATATAATGTCGTATGTCGTTAGTTTTTTTTTGCAGCACATGTTCACATTTTAATACGTCTGTATCATTAAGCGGAATATTAAGACCATAAATAATGAAAACAACCACATAATGAAAAGTTTAATACTATGCCACATCACACAACATATTAATACTAGAAGTACGTGCCGACAGTAGACATAGGGGCAAATGCACTTCCAAATCCTCAGTCTGAAATGTACTGAGTAAGCAACTCATCATCCGAGTATCAGTCCTCTACTACAACCCTATTGATGTGGCTAGGCTCACCTGTGTTGCTCTGACCTGCCTGTCGCCTGTAGTAAGCGGCCTTTGCTTCATCTGCGGCCGCTGCGGCCTGAGTGAAGAACGTGTCGTCCTCATCCTCATCCCCCTCATCAGACAACATAATCGGTGATTGAACGGTGCGACCAACTCGAGATCTATGCTCATCTAACTTCTTCTCCTCATACCTTGCACGAGCCAGCTCTGTGGCATGTTCCTCGCTGCAACCAATCCCTTCATGTATAAAATGCAATCAGTTAGCAACGCAATTATATTACATTTAAAATCAGGCAACGAAAAAAATACTTTCAAGCACTCATTGGCACATAATGCAACAACATGCTCGTTCAAGACCTGCATCTGTACTCTTGTCTCCTCCCTTGCCTAATTCCTTGCCCTATCCTCCTCTAACGTCATCCGTCTCTCCAATCCCCATTTGTTAAGCCCAACATTGATCGGGTTACAAATACCGCGCTGTCTAGCAAACTCACGTATCTTTTCTTTGTGATGTTTAACGAATAGGTTGACGTAGTCAGGTCCATATCCCCTCTTCCGTGCAATTACTTATCTCTTCTTCAGTTCATCCGAGAACTTAGCTTGACCATCATAACATTCCCACCTGCATTTCCTAGTGCTCTGTTCAAACAAAAAATTATATCATATATGTCTTAGCAAAAGAAACAAAACACGATTTCATGTTTACCACAAAAATAACCAACCTCATCATACTCAACCATATGGCCACAATAATGGCTTATTCCAAGCTTCGAAGGGACTAGGCCATAGTTGGATTTAATACCACATTAGCACATGACAGGAGGTGCTTTGTAAATTACCCTTTCTTTCTTTTTTTCCTTAACCTTTCACGGTTCTTCCGGCCATTGGTTCTTAGGACCATACAACCACTCCTTGAAACGACACTTCGCCATTGAAAACACCTAAATAAGTAGACATTGGTACATGAACACATATAGCTCAACATTTCAACACACACTTTGCACTTACTTCATGCTTGTTTGGAAACACAGACTCCAACGTATTCTCAGGGTTTATCACAGCTCGATCTCCACAATCACACAGAGGAGGTTCCTCGAGTCGTCTAACTGCGGCTAGGTGCTTCTCCTTAGCCGTCATTAGCGGAGGGTTAGGGGGGTGGAACCCACCGCTTGAAGTGCTCACGTGGATGTCTCTCTCTAAACCAATCGTCGAAAAGGAGGTACCTAGTATCAAACTTGTCTGCACCGTCGATCCACTGAAAGAAAAAGCACCTCTCATGGTCCTACACAACGAGATTCCAACAAAATATTAGTAGCATACTTACACAAATAAAGAAAAAAGGATAGTGGAAATAATTTCTTACATTAAAACGACTGCATGTGTAGAAGCAACGCGCCGCTGTGTCTGGATGTTTCGATTGAAAAACATAGGCCAGGAAACCACAGTCACAGTTAGGGACAGGGAGGTCAGGAGGGACGGGGGCATCTTTGCTAGACGCGTCGGGGTATAATTCTCGAGGACGACCCCGTTTTCGCCAAAACTCCTCCCGAAACATTTCTTGCATCTAACAAAACGGATGTAATTTAACAAAAATAAATCAAAACATCACAAATAAATGTCAATAAGAACCATAACTACAATACAACCAATTTCGTTCTCAGAACCGAAAGCAGTTAACATTAAATCATAAACCTAGGGTTTCTCATTTGATGCACAATAATGAACCCATAACATAAGTACATGCGCCTAGATTTGCTAGCTTTTTTTATACCTTGGTATCATCCTACAGTTGTATAATACATATATTGAGGGATAGAATGAAACCCTAACTGATGACGATTATTATGTTCAAAAATCCGACTAATATATACCGAATCGATGCGAAAAAAAACTAGGAGGGGAGCGATGATACCTTGCTCTCGAAGATCTACGGATCAAATCAAAGTTTCCAAGGTCCAATATGCCGATTCGTGAGGTATGGTGAAGTGGGGAGAGAAAAAACCCGAGAGGGAGGAGAAAGAAGAGGAAGAACGCTCGGGCAGGCAGGTTGGGCCGAGGTTAAATGGCAGGTAGCTCGGCGCCAGGCACTCTGGCGCCGATGCGCCAAGATCTACGGTGCCATAGTGACTGGTGCCGAGCTCCCTGCCATGCCATCTACCGAGCCCAGGAGCTCGACGCCAGCATCAACGGCGCCGAGCTAAGGATCTATTTTCTAAACTCTTTCCGTCAGGGGTATATTTGTGAGAAACTTTTGAAAAGAGCTGAAATGTAAAAAAATCAGGGATGAATCAGATACCGTGCTTGTTGTCAAAAAAAAAATCAGATACCGTGCTCTAGCAGCACACCATGATAACACGTTACACGTGCACGCCTGCTCTAGCAGTAGGGATGGCATCTGATCGGATCACGCATGAGCAGGACTTTACCGGCGTTCTGAGCTCTGCCACTGATGCAGATGTACACAAGCACCAAAAGAAGCTCAAATATTTTTTTGTCCCTTTGCAATGCTAGTTCTAGTTGGATGATGGAGCACAAACAAATTACTGTAAATGTCTGTTCTCTTCATACACACATCATCACTCAAGAACACGATGCGGCGACGCGAAGATTACATAACCATTATAAACGCATGGCATGGCATCAGTGATCAGTGGGTGAAGGTGTAGAAGACGGTGCCGACATAGACGGCGAGCGCGGTGGTGACGAGCCCGACGAGCCCCGCGGCGGCCTTGGCGGCGGCGCGGTCAGTGGGGCACCCCAGCGTACCGAGCCGGATATGCACGACCATCACCATGGACGTCATCAAGAACACGCACCCGACGACGGAGCCCACGGCGGAGGCCAGCATCCTGAGGCGGAGCACGCGGGCGTCGATGTGCGCGCGCAGAGCGTCGTGCGGGTCCTTGGAGTTGATGAGGTTGAGCGCCAGCTTCAGGCCCTGCGCCACCAGGCTGGAGAAGAGGAACGACGAGAAGGCCACCACCTCCAGCACCAGCAGCGACCGCGCCACGCCGGGGCCCGCGTCGCACCGCGGGTCGTTCGCGAGGCTCCGGAGCTGGCCTGGGGTCGCGAGGGACAGGCCCACGAACACGGCCACCGTGAAGAGCGAGTTCACGTTCACCACGCCGTCCAGCGCCGTCACGTGCACGCTCGTCGTGTTCGCGCTCAGCGCCGCCGGGAACTTCCACTCGTACCCGTGGTGGTGGTGGTGGTGCGGCTGCTGGTGCCCGCCGCCGCCATTGCCGTTGCTGTACTCCTCAGATCTGGGATGGAGACAACAAGATAAATTCACTTCTTGATCCATGGAAGGGTTGCGACTTTGCGAGAGAGAGAGAGAGAGAGAGAGAGACTTACTCATCCATGGCTGGCACGACGGGATGAGGTTGGATCAGACAGAGCCTCGGGGTTCTTGGACTGCTGATTTCGCAAATCAACCTTTGGATGGTGAACTGGGGATGGGAAGGGAGAAGATGGAGATGGAGCAGCGGATCCTCCGAAAGGCAAGAGCTAGAGGGAGGGATTAAAGCCCCTCTTGACACACGGCTCATCCAAAACGGTTTTATCGGTGAAGTTAAAGTTGGTGAAGCCAGAAAAACTGACTTTTTTTTCTTCTAATTCATTTTAACCCTAGCTTACAAAACGACTTCACGCTACCGTGCCTCGATTTACACAAAATAGATAAAGCCGAAACCGACATAAACCATGCCGAAGCCCTAAGGGAGAACGTGTGGGGGCCAAAAGCTAGAAGCTGCTTTTGGTGACTGCTTGCTGCGCCGCGGCTGCAACAGCCACGCGTCATTGCTACAGTGATCTGAGGCAGCTGAGAAATATCACCCGAGCGATAAAAACACGGAATTTATATAGTTTGGTGTTTTCTTTCAGAATCTATTTTGGCAAATCAAATTGGGGCATAACCTTGTGATTTATGCTTCACTATTTAGGGCATGTCTGGTTCAAAAGCTAGAAGCTGATTTTGGTCTCTCATGCCCTTGCAAGTTTTTTCACTCTCTCTTCATTATATCAAATCTTTGGACACATGCATGGAGTATTAAATGTAGATAAAAAATAACTAATTACACAGTTTGATTGTAAATTACGAGACAAATCTTTTGAGCCTAGTTAGACCATGATTGGATAATAATTGTCAAATACTGATTCTTAACCCTAATCTAAACGAGGCCCGTAGATCACTTATCTGTTCGATGACCAGATGAGATGCCAGCGTCCCCATCTAAAGCATGTTCATTCAATCATCTAAAAGCAACACACTCCACTGACCCTTTTCTCTCTCTTGAAAATAGGACTTCATTGAGAAGCCAGATGAAATGAGATGGTTGCATTACAAAGAAGACCAAGACGACTGAAAACAACCGGGCAACAAGCTGAAATCAGCTCATTCTAAAGGCCTATTTGGCATGACTTCTGGTGGCTCCAGCTCCTACAAGCAACTGTAGCAGCATCGTTCCAGGAGCCATTTTTCTCATTTCGCAAAAACGTGGAGCCAAGAGAAGCCACCATTGGTAGCTCCTCCGGCTGCTGCTCCTTTGGCACTGTAGCAAGAACTCGGAGTCCGAAAGAATCCAACCAAACAGGGCCTAAGTTTTACCAACTCAAAACATACGTCAGCCCGTAACCTCAAAACATACGTCAGCCCGTAACAAAGCTATGAATTCAGGTAACCAGTACAATAAGATTATTCCAACTGGCCAGGACACAGGATATAACATGATTTTTTGTAAAAATTTTATTCAATAAGATTATGCCATAATAATTGTTAAAATGCCAAATACTGATTCTTAACCCCAATCTAAACGAGGCCCATAGATCACTTATCTGTTCGATGACCAGATGAGATGCCAGCGTCCCCATCTAAAGCATGTTCATTCAATCATCTAAAAGCAACACACTCCACTGACCCTTTTCTCTCTCTTGAAAATAGGACTTCATTGAGGAAAGAGTCCAACCAAACAGAGCCTAAGTTTTACCAACTCAAAACATGCGTCAGCCCGTAACAAAGCTATGAATTCAGGTAACCAGTACAATAAGATTATTCCAACTGGCCAGGACACAGGATATAACATGAATTTTTATAAAAATTTTATTCAATGCCATCAATCGCCAATGTGATGGCCTCTTTTTTTTTAAAAAAGGAAAAGCTTTCGTTCATTATAAGCATAGTACAGTGATTAGAGTGAGAACACCTGAAGTGAAGTTGGCAATATGATAGTCTGGCATGCATCCACACAGTGCAATCCCAAATCTTGACCATAGATTTCAGCTAGCTATTTGCCTAAACAGCTATAGATAGTTCTCGTGAACTGAGCTCTAAATTTGCAATGACACATCTCAATACAGAGCAAACCAATAAACATGACGCATAGCAGGTAGCACAGCTAATAAACTCCAACACACAGCCTCATAGGAAGTCTGAAGCAGGGGGGCCTTTAGGCAACAGAGCTTGGAAACAGGTATAAGGTATAAAACACAAGGGTAAATGACCATCTGGTCTGTATCTCCAGCACAACAACAAAAATTTAGAACCGGTACTTCGCCCCAGCAGCCTTCTTTCTGGCTGGCACCCTGTAGAATCTGAAAAATTACACACAATAAGAAAAGTGAAACATGCTTTAGTTCATTTTCCCCCAACGGCTAGTATGGGCTGGTTTGAACACCAACACCCTCACCACTTTGGATCAATACGTAGCTGATATATACTATTTACAAAGTAGCCTCAAACTATATACCAAATGCTGTACACATGAATGGAGCAAATTGTGCATCTGTGCAGAATCTACACACTCAAACCTTTTCTTTTTCCTGGTCAGATCTTATACAGGTCAAGCCTTGGGCACTAGCTTCATCATGAAGTTGTATTGCACTCCTTTAGCTATCTTGGGTTCAGGCCATTTAGCTCCTTCTGGTATGCTGGATGCATTTGAAACCTTGATTTTTTGTACAGACGTAGGGCAGCTATGTTGTTTACATCACAATGCAATGCCATTGACCGGCATCCCCAACTCCTTGCCCGTGCCTCTGCTTCTTGGACTAACATTTTAGCAATTCCTTTCCGACGTTCCTCCTTCCGCACTGCGACATTTGCTATGTATGCAATACCTGTCCTGCACAAATTGGAAATAACACTAAGTACCTTTTAGGAAGGGGGAGAGAGAGAGAAGGGGGGGGGGGCTTTGCCTGCACATTTAAAAAAAAGAATGAAATGCAAATTGGAACATCATTTGATATCCCATACAGACTAAAGGGAGCACAGCCAATGGCATGGACTGATTTGTAATTAACTAAATACAACTTGTTCACTACATACAATAGCCAAAAGTAATTGCCAAAGGTTATTTAGAATGTGAATCAGATTAAGTAATTGTATTTAGTGGTATCAGGGGAGAATACATGCCCTAAAAACTAAGTATTTCATACTCAAGTTTAATATAGGAAAGTAGGTTAAACTTCCTCCTGTTAGCTACAAACTAAATGTGTGGATATTGATAAGCTCATAGTCACATAAAACGGGTTCACCACCTTCGACCCTAGACCCAGGTTCGTCGACCCCGACCCGGGTTCACGGGTTCATTTTCGACCCGAAGTGTAAAAATCTCTCACAAGTAGCATACCACGTACCACGACCCCATCGACCCAGAAACTTTGTTACTATGGATATGCTATCTGAAAGAAACCTGATTAGAGTTCAACTAGATAGTACGAAGCGGGCAGAGGGAGGGGAAGGAAGGAGGGTCTAAGTATGATTTAATTAGGGTGAAGGGTGGGCCTTGGCTTGTGCTTACTTTTGTATGTACTGGGGATCCAATGTTTGAACCAGCTTTCTTGCAAAATAAGCAAGGCAAGGTTGCCTAGAAATTCCCTTTTTGAGACGACACCATGCATGGGAGCTTTTAGCACTGGGTGTGCCATGTGACTTAATTAGGGTAATATTGAACAGAAATAACAATCTGTCAGCATAACTAAAACTTACATTGTTTTGAATACATTCCAAGATGGAATAAAGACTAACAGTATCCTGCTTCAGTTGAGAAATGTTTGCTCAAACTATGTTAGATTTAATCAACAAAATCGATCATTCCTTTTTCTTCTGTGCAACTTATCTAATTTAATACCCCTACTTCATAAAAACCTGGGCCGACAAAACACATGGTATTGCCTCTAATCACAATCAAATGAAAATTTAAGTTCAGTTCACCATTCACATAGAAGTTTGCCACCTTTTCTGTAGTGCGCATGGTGTTTTGTGTGCTTCAATTATTTGTTTGTGTACTTGTGTGTGATGGCAGGTGGTTTTTGATTCACCATTGTACCTAGTCACTCCTTTAATGCAATGACATGAAGCTCTCAAATGTTCTATTCTATTTGCTGCTAAATTGGCGGAGTCTTACATTTTCTTTAGGAAGCTGGCGATAGGTCAAGTTTTTTCTCAAATTTTATAAACTAAAATTGGTCCATAAATCACATTGTAGTTGAACCATGCCATTCATTTCCAACATAGGTTATCTGCAGTACATCATTATATCTAGAATCTTGTGTGGTTCGGAGCTATGATGGAAAGAGTTGCTTTTGTCTAACCTGTGATTGCCTTTTGTGATTGCCTTTCTATTCTGAGAAAAGCAACCATGGTCCATAAAAGGGTAAGAAAAATCCCAAACTCAATATTGTCCTATACATAAAAAGATGTCATTTTCTTAGGATAGATGTGAGGGACAGGGGGGGAGTGTGTGTGTGTCTAGGGTGTGCTGGGGATTGGGAGTTTACTAACTCTCCCTTTTACCTTTCTCTTCTTACTGAAATAATACGCAGATCTCCTGCATGTTCGCGGAAAAATAAATAACTAAAAAGATGCCATTTATAAGCATCTCAACAAGCTTGAAAAACTATGCTTTCTGCAACATTGAAGGGGTAGGGTAGGTGAGAATGTCATGACCAGAGCATAGTTAGCTGAAATCATGCCACAGCTTTCTTTAGAGCATCAAAGTGTTAAATACTATCTTACAGTATTTGAGTTAATTAGCTACCAGTTTAACCAAGAAACACATCAGACAACAGATTGTATGTAATTATGCTCAAGATCATAACTTCGCCATAGACTGCAAAGCGAGCTGTAAGTGTGGCAAAGGATAGAGCGTACGAGGATCTTTACCAACATTTGAGTACGAAGGAAGGAGAGAAGGACATTTATAGGATGGCTAGGGTTCGTGAGAGAAAGACAAGGGACTTCAACCAAGTTAAGTGCATTAAGGATGAAAGGGAGCATCTCTTGGTGAAGGAGGATGAGATCCGACATCGATGGCAAGAGTATTTTGACAAATTGTTCAATGATGAGAATACGGACACAACCTTTCAGCTGGATGACTCTTTTGATGACACCAATAGGCGCATTGTGCGGAGAATCCAAGAATCTGAGGTCGCGTTGAAAAGGATGAAAGGAGGTAAGGCGATGCGACCGGATGGTATCCCAATCGAGGTGTGGATATGCCTCGGGGACATAGCTATAGTATGGCTAACCTAGCTGTTCAACCATATTTTTCGATCGAAAAAGATGCCTGACGAGTGGAGGAGAAGTATATTAGTACCGATCTACAAGAATAAAGGGAATATTCAAAGTTGTACTAATTACCGGGGAATTAAGTTGATGAGCCTACTATGAAGCTATGGGAGAGAGTTATCGAGCATCGCTTGAGAGCAATAACGCGGGTCTCTACGAACCAATTTGGTTTCATGCCCGGAAGGTCGACCATGGAAGCCATTTTCTTAATAAGACAAGTTATGGAGCGGTATATGGAGAAGAAGGACCTACACATGGTTTTTATTGACTTGGAGAAGGCTTATGATAAAATACCAAGGAATGTTATATGATGGGCTTTGGACAAACATAAAGTCCCAACGAAGTACGTCGGGCTCATTAAGGACATGTACAACAATATTGTGACTAGTGTTCGAACAAGTGATGGAGACACAGATGACTTCCCGATTAGGATAGCACTACATCAAGGGTCAGCTTTGAGCCCTTATCTGTTTGCCTTAGTGATGGATGAGGTCACAAGGGACATACAAGGGGACATCCCTTGGTGTATGCTTTTCGCGGACGATGTAGTTCTAGTTGATGAAAGCCGGACAGGAGTGAATCAGAAACTGGAGTTATGGCGGGAGACTTTGGAGTCCAAAGGTTTTAGACTCAGTGGAACTAAAACTGAGTATATAAAATGTGACTTCGGCACTACTACTCGGAAGAAGGAAGATATTAGTTTGGAAGGTCAAATAGTGCCTAGGAAGGATACATTTCGATATTTAGGATCAATGCTACAGAGAGACGGGGATATTGATGAAGATGTTAGCCATAGAATCAAAGCAGGGTGGATGAAGTGGCGCCAAGCATCTGGTGTCCTATGTGACAAAAGAGTACCACAAAAGCTAAAAGACAAGTTTTATAGGACGACGATTAGACCTGCTATGTTGTATGGTGCAAAATATTGGCCTACGAAAAGACGACATGTTCAACAGATAAGTGTCGCGGAAATGCGTATGTTGTGTTGGATTTACGGTCATACAAGAAGGGATCGAGTTCGGAACGATGATATACGTGATAGATTAGGGGTAGCACCAATTGAAGAAAAGTTTCTCCAACACCGGTTGAGATGGTTTGGACATGTCCAACGAAGACCTCCAGAGGCACCGGTGCGTAGTGGAATCCTAAGCCAGGATAGTAACGTGAAGAGAGGTAGAGGAAGACCGAAGTTAACTTGGGTAGAGGCAATAAAATGAGACTTGAAAGGATGAAATATACCCAAAGACTTAGCCTTAGATAGGAGTGCTTGGAAAACAGCTATTCACGTGCCTGAACCTTGATTGCTTCTGCTGGGTTTTAACTCTAGCCTACCCCAACTTGTTTGGGACTTAAAGGCTTTGTTGTTGTTGTATCATAACTTCGCCATTTGTAGTTCACCTAAATATCTAGTACATAATATGTGTAGAAAGTCTTTCTGGCAGCTCAAAAGATGTGCTGCCAGAAGACTCAGAAGAGCAGAATATGATTACAGTGATAATCTAAAAAGCTGTAAAATGCACTAGCAATGTGTCCACGTGTTTCCCATCCATTGCAGTTGACGTGTGAAACCTAGTTTTTTTTTCATGGACTAGTCTTCAACAAACTTCGAGTTAATGTCTTAACATAAATTAGAATTTACAACTGACGGAGTTTGCATTCATGGTTAGATTAGAATTACGTTTAGAGACTAAGCCCAAAAGTCACTCTATTCAGTTTTTTTTTTTTTGTTAGCATGTAGGAGGTGAAGTATAATGTTTGCTTAAGAGAATCCTAGTAGCAGGGGGAGACATGGCCACCTTAGGCCACAAGAAAGCTGTCCCTGATTGCCGTATTATGACTGCTTTGTGACATTGCACATGTCCTCTGTCATGTTTAAACTTCATTACTTGCTAATTATGCCAGTATACATTTGAAAAGCCAAACAAATTTAACAAGGAAAATGCATATAACTAGCAATGACAAACAGACAAGCTTACTAATGATATAGACCAAGTGACACCTACAGCAAAATTCCTAGCTTGCATCCCTTCATAGTTAATAGTCTTAACAAATCACCAGAGGAAATTCAATTTATATGTTTCGGTAACTAAATATGTACCTTCTCTGCTTCAGGGGTCCCCTTCTCGGAAGATAGTCTGCCACTGTATCAAGTGTAAGAATGCCAGCTATGGAGCCTCTACTGAGATTGTATTCCTGAAAGCTGGCATCTGTAGCATCTCCACACTCGATGGTGAAACTATTATTTACAGAATTAGAATTAACGGCCACAAGGCAAGTCTTCGTGCACCCGGGTGGAACTGAAAATCCAGACAGGAGAGCAATGTAACGATCAATCCGGAGAACAAGGTCCAACGGGAACTTGTAACCAGGAAAGAACGAGCTGCAGTGAGTGTCAGCCACTTCCCAGCAGTCCTCGAGCCGTGCGTCTCGGACCACGATTTCAGGGCACAAAGTGGGCAGCAATTCAACCGCCTGGCTAGCATAGCAAATTCCTGAAAAACAAAAGAACGGAAATTAATGTCAAAGAGAACGGTTGCGTAGCTGGATCATGTCGCATGCGCGGCCAATCACCTCCCGTAGCCCTGTCGCCTGCGCGGAAAGGCCCCGTTTTGGCTGTTTGGATGAAGGAAATGCCGATCCGGCTCGTACAATTTACTGTTGCCGGCCTGCGAGATCTCACAAGGGTTTGTTTTGACCGGAGGGAGGGAAAAAGGGGGGAAATTTCAGCAGCTCATACCAGATCATGGCTCGGAAGCCGTTGAAGCTGGGGGCCAAGGACGCTGAGGCGCCTCCACCGGGGCAGGGCCCTCGCATTGCTTCCGGCGAAGCAGCTTGGGAGGCACGAGTGGAGGAGGAGCACGGCGGCCGCGCTGGGCCAGCGGCGGCGCAGGAGAGGAGAGAAGAGGTCAGGGGGAAAGGATAAGGATGAGGTAGAGAGAGCCATTGTCCTTTTTCACAACACCCCCTGAAAAATCCAAGTAGCACATATAGGATTGGATGAACTATGCTTTTATAAAAAATAACTAAAAATCTAACTGCTTAAACATATAGTCATATAGATGTATAGTCAAACTATTCTTTCCGTAAGATCCACTAGCTTGTTTTGGAAATTCCATCGTCGAGATTAGACTATTAGAGTTGCGAAATACTTACTTGTTTGTTAATGAGTGTAACCATTGCAGAAAGAGAGAAAAAGAGATGCTTTGAAGCATGATTAAATTGAGTTTTGCGGTTTGGAGGAGTTTCAGGTGATTAGGGGGTGGTTATATTCAGTACCGAGGGGGTTGAAGCTTTCAGAGGGTTTTCATAAAATTTAAATTTGGAATGACTGTCGAGTCATAACACAAACGAACCAAAGAATGCAGCGGATAATTAACACGTTTTCTATTGAAAGCGGCAAGATTTATAAGCAAACTATCAAAAGGTAGCTATCGGGCTTACGTAACAAAGAATGACTAGTTTTTGAATAAATTAGCAAAGGAGTTGTCGAAACTCTCGTTCGGGAGGGACCCTGTCGGAGTAAGGACGTCGGACATCAAGCGTAGGGCACCATTTTTGTCATAGGAACAAGGGATGGACAACAACGTGGAGACGAAAGAGTAAAGTGTAGAAAACGGTAGCAGATTGGTTTTTCATTGATTGTGTATGGTTGTACCTTAATCAGCCATAATCCTCCAATATATATAAAGTAGAGTGGTCTTATTATAGTAGAAACCTCCCTAGTCTACAAGATCGGAGAAGTTCCGATCAGATCTGGGAACAACAAGCAATTCCGACGCCCAACTCCCGACTTGCAAGTTGGAACTTCTGATATGTGTTGAAGTTCTGACACCTCAACCTCCCAAACAAATTTAACCTCCTCTGACTTTTTTTTTCTGTCAACAACTTTATTGTTGGGAACAACAAGGATGAGGTAGTTTTTTTTTGGTGCGTGTCTCATTGTTTGGTGATTGGGTTACAAACTTTTTTCTTCTTAATATATAATATAATGATACGTAATTTTCGTGAAGCAAATTAGAGCTGCATCTTGCGGGAAACAGTTGTAGTGGACAGAATGGGAAAATGCATATCTAGTTTGTGCACGCGCGCGCGTGCAGACAGATAAAGACATGAGCCGTGATAGATTTGATTGTGTTGATTGGTGGTGTTCTTCTGGTCAGCAAGGGTTAAAAACATGTTGGTATCCAAATCATAGTGAAAGATTTGACAGTCAACACAATCAGATAATACATACATATTTATGAAAAAAATAATAAAGCTAAAGCGTCACATATACATTTTCTATTTCAAAAGGAAGTAGAGATGGAGCGCGTTCGGCTGGCTGGCCGGCTGGGGCTGGGCTGGCCAGCGCACTCACAGTGACACTGTTTATATAAATAGTGTTTCCTGACAGAACAATATTTTTCTCTCACAACAATTAGTCAGAACAGTATTTTGGCTTATTTTTCAGTCTCATGATTTACATGCATCATAGGTTATTAACTGGTAATACAAATCACTACAAAACTGTTGCTACGCCTCAAGAGGTCTGGCAAAGATGAGGTATGAATCTCGGATAGCATGCATCTCAATTGTTGCATCATGTATAAGTATTCGCTCTCTGGGATGTTTCTCCGAGCAGGATATCCCAAGACCAATGGCAGAAATCAAACAACTTTCAATTCGAGTTCTTGTAGTGCTATCACGAGTGGCTGTGTGCAGCCACATTGCTGTGTCGGCTACCTCCCAGATTCTTTTTGGAAGAGCATCTTTACAAAACTTGTGCAGATCTAGTGAACCTCTGAACATATCATCAATCGGGCTCTTTCCAGTAAACATCTCGAGCAACAAAATGCCGAGACTATAAACATCACCAAGAGCTGAAACATAAGAACCTTCACCATACTCTGATTGTTCAATAAGTTATTCATCAGAACGTGATGTTAAGAGGAGAACTATGGATATAATAATAAAATCCAAAATAAAGTATTTTGAATTACCTGGGGCAACATAACCAACAGAACCTCTTATTCCGAACATGCTGTTGGAATTTTGTATGGTTTGACTTGCACATTCTGCGAGGATTCTTGACAGGCCAAAGTCTCCAATTCGAGCACTCATGTCTTCTGCAAGAAGGATGTTGCTTGGCTTAATATCACAGTGAATGATCGGTGGATGACAGTGATTATGAAGATAATCCAAAGCATCCATAACATCAACAGCAATATCTAGCCGTTGTGCTAGGTTGAGAGTATTGCTTGGAGTGCGCAAGCCAAACTTTGGATGAAGCCAGTCATTTAAGCTACCATTGGGCATGAACTCAAAAACCAATGCCTTGAACTCTTGACCTTGGTGATTGATGCTTGAGCAACATGTGATGATCTTTATGAGACATCGGTGGCGTACCCTTCTCAATGCCTCACATTCAACCGTAAAACTTCTAGTAGATCCATGTTGTTCTGGGTTAAAAACCTTCACAGCTGCGATAGTTCCTTCATCTTCAAAAGTGCATTTATAGACTGCCCCAAAGCTTCCTTTACCAAGCAAATTGGCTTCAGAAAACCCATTGGTCCCATTTGATAATGCATGATAAGAAAGTCTTCCATACTGTTCCTCAGCTAATGTCGGTCCGATGCAGCTCTTATGCTTTCGTGCAAACAGAATAAGTGTAATGGCTAAACCTAAGAAGAAGAGAGCACTTGCTGTTCCCAGGACTATTGAAATATACCTCAGCTGTACTTTTCTGCTCTGTTTCACAGAATTATTGTGGCATGGAGCTAAATGAAGCTGAGGTATTCCACCACAGAGCTCATTATTTCCGGTGATTGAAAATTCGGTCAAGTTTCTGAAAATGCCCTCTCTTGGTACTTCCCCTTGCAGATTGTTGAAAGATAGATCTAGTTCGTACAGTGATGTCAGGTTCTGAAGCGTTGTAGGAATGGTTCCGGACAAGTTGTTGTGTGCCATATGCAAATATTGCAAACTGCGTATACTACCAATGCCATTAGGAATAGTACCAGACAACTTATTCATGGACAAATCAAGTGCACTTAGACCCTTTATATTGCATATAGATTGAGGGATAGTTCCCTGAAATGAGTTGTTGTCCAACATTAGCCCTTCCAACACCGCGCAGCTCCCAATACTATCTGGTATCTCACCAGATAATTGGTTTCCAGACAGAACTAGGACATTAAGGTTCCCCAAGCTACCAACTTCAGAAGGAAGGGATCCCGATAGTAAATTATATGATAAGTTGCAAATAAGAAGTACTGGTAGTTTGAAAATATCTTTGGGAATTGAACCGTTTAGGCGGTTCATTGACAGATCAAGGGTTATCAAATTCCTCAGCTTCCCTACGCTTGCAGGAATTGAACCCTCCAGTTTGCCATTGTATGCAGTTAATTTCGACAGCTGCGAGATATTTCCCAAAGATGAAGGTATGAGACCTGACAGTTGAGTATCATACATCTCTAGCACAACCAAGTTCCCTAGCTTGCCAATGCTTTCTGGAGCTACTCCAGATATGCATGTATTCGCCACACTGAGAAATTCGAGGCTTGCAAGATTTCCAATGTCAGATGGGATGCTCCCTGACACCCTACTGTTTTTCAACCAAAAGAATTTTAGTGTTGTTGAGAGATTCGCTATTGAAGTTGGCAGCTGACCCGTGAAAGCGACGTTGTTGCCAATATCTAGTTCTTGGAGTTGGGTGCAGTTTGACAAGGAAGTGACGAATTCCCACCCCTCTCTGTCATTCGCTTGAAGCATGTTACTGTGCAAGTATAGGAATTGTAGAGCTCGCAACTGCCCCAAAGTGCGAGGCACATGCCCACTTAGGCTATTACTGCCGAGTTCAAGGTCTATGAGTGCAGTGAGGTTTGAGAGCGAAGCAGGGATGGATCCAGTGAACTGATTCTGAGAAAAGGAAAGATACCTCATGCCAGGAAAACTGTTGCCGATATCAGCAGGCATGTTTCCATGCAGCATGTTCCCTTCGAGCTGCAACATGGTCAGCGAAGATAGGTTGTACAAGGAGCAGGGCGGCTCACCGACGAGACGGTTAAACTCGAGGTTCAGGTACTGGAGGCCCTGGAGGCAGCCGAGGCCTGGAGGGATCTCGCCATTGAGATAATTGTACGAGAGGTCCAGGGCCCAGCAACTCAGGGATGACAAGTTGGCGAGCGACGCCGGGATGGCCCCTGTGAGGTTGTTGTCCCGCAGGTTGAGCACCTGCAAGAGCATGAGCTTGGTACCGATATCGTGGGGCACGCGACCCTGGAGCTGGTTGGAACGGAGGTGAATGGCCGTGAGTCTGGTGCAGGATGTCAAGTTCACAGGGAGGTCGCCGGTGAGGGTGTTATTCTGCATGTCGAGGGCCCGGAGGTGGTGCAGGTGGCCAAGACTCGCGGGGATGGCCCCGCTGAACGCGTTGGAGCTCAGGTTCAGGACCCTGAGGGATGACAGGTTGCCGATCGCCGGCGAGAGGTAGCCGACGAGCCCGCGTGAGTGCAGGCTCAGCGCCACAACTCGCGGTCGCTGGTGCTGCTTGCCTCGGCATGTCACCCCCTCCCAGCTGCAGAACCCACCGGCGGTGCTGCTGCTGTCGTTCCACGAAGCAAGCGGATCATCGTACCCTCCGCTGATTGCCGCAGCCTTGAAGGCCAGCAGTGCGGCCTTGTCGTCGTCGGCTCCTGCTGCAGCACCGCCGGCCTTCAAGGCAAGCTCAGGTGACAGTGACACGAGGAAGGGTACCACTACCACCACCAGCAGCAGCGAACTCAAGGAACACATGTACATTGCCATTTCGAGTGCTTTAGTGTGTAGTGGCGATAGCCGAGGGCAGTCGTCGTTGATGGTTTATAGCTAATTAACTTAACTTAATGGTGGAGAGCAGGTGAAATATGTGATTCTTTTTTTAATGGAAACTAAACTGTGGAGCAAAGCTCCCCAGCACTTTATTGAAAAAGTAAATCTGTACAAAGAAGCCCTTTACAAAGCAGTATGGTTAGCATAGAACTAACCAAGAACACTTTATTGAAAATTAGTGTGATTCTTCTTACTCTACTTTTCTCCGTAGATGACATTGTTTTTAGCCGTCCTGGTGCATCGAGTCCACGATTACTACTCCAGTGATTCATGGTCTTATAGCCCCGATTCTTCACGAGGACGATGGCGGGTTGGTTATCTACCATTAGTGTTGATGGGTGAGCTTCGACACCGGTCAGCTTGTCTAGCAGCCGACGTAGCCACACAGCTTGGCACGCCGCTGTGGCCGCCGCCACGTACTCTGCCTCGCACGTGGACAGTGCCACCACCTTCTGTTTCAGCGATAGCCATGAGATTGGAGCCGACCCGAGAAAAACGAGCACGCTAGAGGTGCTCCGCCGTCTGTTGATGTTCTCCGCCATTCTGCATCGCTGAACACAGTGAGCTACAGCCTGCTTTCGTCGGTCTTGGGGAAGACGATCTCCTGATCTACCGTCCCCTTGACGTAGCGCAGTAGCCGCTTCACCGCAGCCCAGTGATCCTCTCTGGGATCTTCCATGAAACGACTGACGTAGCCCACGGCGAACGCAATGTCCGGCCTCGTGTGTACTAGGTAGCGCAGACCGCCGACGATGCTCCAGTAGAATGTTGCATCTACCTTCGCTGCGGTACTGGTCTTCGTCAGCTTCAGTTGCTCCTCCATCGGAGTTACACACGGCTTGGACTCAGCCATGCCGCTCCGCTCCAACAGCTTCGAGGCGTACGCGCTCTGACCGAGCGTGAGCGCCTCCTTCCGCTGTCTCACCTCGATGCCGAGGTAGTAGGAAAGCGCGCCGGGATCGCTCATTCGAAAACGAGCCGCCATCTCACGCTTGAAGCTGTCGATGTCCTCCACACGCGCGTCGGTGACGATCAAGTCGTCCACATACACGCCGACGACGAGCTCTTCCTTCTCCCGTCGCCACGTGTAGAGCGCGTGCTCGGTTGTGCACCTCGTGAATCCAAGCTCGTCCAGCGTAGCGTCAAGCTTGGTGTTCCACGCTCGTGGGGCCTGCCGTAGCCCGTAGAGCGCCTTGCGTAGTCGGAGCACCCTGTGCTCCGCTCCCTTGACGGCGAAACCCGGAGGTTGTCTGACGAAGACCGTCTCCGCTAGCTCGCCACTGAGGAAGGCCGATTTTACGTCCAGGTGATGGACACGCCAGTCCTTCGCTGCTGCCAAAGCCAGAAGCAGTCGAACAGACTCCATGCGTGCTACCGGCGCAAAGACTTCCTTGAAGTCGATGCCCTCGCGTTGGACAAAGCCTCGGGCGACGAGACGCGCCTTGTGTTTGACAATGGCGCCGTGCTCGTCCCGCTTGACCTTGTACACCCACTTCAGGCCGATCGAACGGCATCCTGGAGGTGGATCGACGAGCTCCCAAGTCTCGTTTTCATCGATCGCCTTCATCTCCTCCAGCATCGCCCGCCGCTAATTCCCATCGCGCTCGCCCAGCGCGAACGTGGGTGGTTCCTCTGCACTGACGAGAAGCAGCTCTAGGTCATTGAGCAGCCGTCCCGCCAGGCCCGAGGGCCCTGTGCCGCCGATGATGTCGTCCAACCTACGGAACCGCACCTCCTCACCGTCGTGGAAGGCATCCACGAACTCAGTGATGTCACTTGGAGGTGATGCGAACTCGATCAGCGTCGATGGAGTTCCCTGTTCCGCCGGAGTGATCTACACAACACCTGGAGTGCTCAGCCCCCCGGCTACAGTGCTCGGCACTACTCCTGGAGTGGTCGACACCCCTCCTAGAGTGCTCGGCACCAGTCTTATAGTGGTCGGCACCACTGCAAGACCTCTCGGCTCCGCTATGGGGGTGTTCTGCACCCGTCCTAGAGTGGTCAGCACCACTGCAGGACCACTCGGCACCTCCTCTCCAGCGTCTCCATCACCGTGGATGATCAAGTTCTCGACGACGAAGGTGCTAGTGAAGCCGCCAGCTTCCCCCGTGCTCAGACTATTCCAGTCCTAGGCCGCCTTCTCGTCGAATACGACGTCGCACGAGACAAGCATCTTGCCTCCACGTGGGTCGTAGAGCCGGTACGCCTTGGTACCTTTCGCGTAGCCCAGGAACACCATCGGTGTGCTCCTGTCCTCCAGCTTGGTGAGGACCGGCTTCGTCTTCCTAACGTGGCCAATGTAACCGAATGTCCGGAGGAAGGACATATTCGGCTTACGTTCATACCAAGTTTCGAACGGCATCTTGCCCTTTAGGGCCTTGGTGGACGCGCGGTTGAGGATGAACACCGCCGTGGTCACCGCCTCACCCTAGAACCTTGTCGGCATGCTCTTGGCCTTCATCATGGATCGAGCCATGCCGATCACCGTCTGGTTCCGCCGCTCCACCACGCCATTCTGTTGCGACGAGTACGGCGCGGTGTGGTGTCGCACCACACCCTGATCCGCGCAGTACGCAGCAAACTCCACCGAAGTAAATTCACCGCCGCGATTAGTTCTCAGCACACGCAGCTTCTTACCGCTCTCCGCCTCCGCGCGCGACTTGAAACTTCTTGATCGCCGCCGCCTCGTCCTTCATCGTCAGGAGTTGCAGCCACATATAGCGACTGCAATCATCCACGAGCAAGAGAAAGTACCGCCGACCACCGCGCGATACTTGGCCGCCTTTGGGAACGGCAGCCTCCTCTGATTCCCGGCCAGGCAGCTATCACACAGCTCGCCTACGTGCTCGATGTGGGGCAACCCTCGGACCATCTTCTCTAGCCGACCAAGCGCGTCGAAGCTGAGATGGCCGAACCGGGCATGCCACAGTCACGGCTCCTCGGTGTGCCATGCTGCCAGGCACACCGGCTGCTCCACCTTCAAGTCGAGCAGATACAACCAGTTCTAGGACCTCTTCACCTTGGTAAGAAGGCGCTGCTCCCAGTCCCTGATCCTGAGGACACGGTCCTTGATCAGTACCTCGCTACCGCGCTCATCCAGCTAGCAAATGCTAATGATGCTTGAACGCAGCTGCGGGATGTAATATACATCCGTTAGGGCGCAGTGCTCACCGTTTTGGCACCTAAAGATGATGGTGTCGCGCCCTCGGATCGCCACCCTTGAGCCGTCACTGAACTTCATCGTGCCGGTCACGTCGTCGTCGAGCTCGGAGAAGGTTGTCTTGGAGCCTGTCATGTGGTTGCTGGAGCTGGAGTCCAGATACCACCGCTACTCCTTTTCGCCGCCCACACGTCCGAGGTGGACTTGGGAGCGCGGTTTGTCGAGGTAGACAGCTTTTAGAGCCTTCCCAGGCCCTTTCACCGCCATCACCTCTCCTTTCTCCTTGGCCTCAACGTCGTGTAGTGCACAGAATGTTGCCATCAGAAGAGTGGCCTCATCATCATCATCAGCCTGCACCAGATGAGCCTCAGCCTTCTTATCCTGCTTGTGATTTGGGCACTCCTTTGCCCAGTGGCCCATCTTTCCGCAGCGCCGGTAGACGTTGGGGTCGACCTTCTTCTTCTTCTCCAAAGAAGCCTTACCGCGACGCTTGCCATCGCCACCACGGCTGGAGGAGGCTTCCCTAGTGTTCCTCCGGGCAGCCCACTCCTCCTCTGTCAGCAGCAGTTTGCCGCTGTCCGTCGTTGCTGTGGCTTGCTCCAGGCGCTCGTCCATCGCCCGCAGACGGCCTGTCACATCCTCAATGGTGAGGGTGGACAAGTCCAGCATCGTCTCTATGAAGAGAGCGATCTAGATGTACTTCTTCGACACGGAGTGGAGGTACTTAGAGACCGCCTCCTCTTCGTCGATGGTGACGCCGTGGCTCCTCAGCTTGCTGATGAGCGTCTGCAGGCGGAGGAAGAAGTCCTCCACCGATTCATCATCCTTGAACTTGAGGTTGGCGTACTCCTGCTTCAGAAGCTGGGCCGTCGCCTTCTTTACGCGGTCGAAACCGACGTGCATCGCCGCAATGGCCTCCCACGCCTCCTTAGCATAGCTCTTCGCCCCCAACGGCTCCCTGTACTTCCCCGGTACAGCAGCGATGATAGCCTCCAACGCTGACATGTCGTCTTCTTCGTTGTCGGTGCTCTTGTTAACAGCATTCCAGAGCCGTCGGGCTCTGAGCTTGACCTTCATAGTCACCAACCACTCTCCATAGTTGGTGCGAGTCAGCGTCGGCCAACGGGTGTCGCTGACCTCCCGCACCGTGCGTACAACGACATCCTGTCATGGCTGGACAGCCACAGCAGCTCTGCTGCTGTCGTCCATCTCCAAACCGTCTGTCATCGCTAGCGGTTAGTCCGACGACGGCGCTTGTACGGCTCTGATACCACTTGTTAGCCCACAGGATCACCGGTACGGAGAGTCGACCACTCACCAGCGTTGCCGACCACGACTATCGTTGTTCGACCACACACTATGGCTAGAGGTAGAAGAAGGGAGGGATAACAGAGCACACACACAGCAGAAGCACCAGCGTTGGCCGGAGCTCTGCAGAGAAGATGGCAAAACTGAACTCTCTCTCTCTTTACTGAGTTGCAGTGTCAAACTATATATACAACTCTACCCATCTAATCCTAGTACAGCTGTCATGCTGCTACAGTGACTAGATGTGACAGCGGAGCTGACTTTGGTGCCTGCCCCTGTTGTGGCTACAGTGCGGCAGGAGAGCCGTTCAACGTATACCCCTGCTGTGGCTATAATACCATAGCTGGGAGCCTTTTCGACGTCGCCTTCCCTTACCGCGCGTTCACACAGGGAAGCAGCAGATTACTTAACACCTTCTCCTTCAACCGGTGAATTCACAATTCTAGTTCTAGCTACAATCTTTCAAAAA